CGTCGACGCCGTCCCGCCACCTTGGGCGAACGTTGTCAGTGGCATGTGGCTCTACAAGGTGAAGTGGCCGTCTGGAGCACCAACGGTGTTCAAGGCGCGCTACGTGGCGAGAGGCTTCAGTCAGCGAGAGGGGGTAGACTTCTTCCAGACCTTCGCTCCCACCCCGAAGATGACCACTCTTCGGGTGTTGCTGCATATTGCAGCACAGCGCGACTACGATTTGCACTCCTTGGACTTCTCCACCGCGTTTCTTCAGGGGAGCCTGCACGAGCAGATTTGGCTGTGTCGTCCGCCTGGCTTCACTGGCACTTTCCCTCCTGGGACCCAGTGGCAGTTTTTTTTTTTTTTTTTTGGTGGATATAAGTATATTAATGATAAACATACAAAGATCCGCAGTCGTAACTGTAGACTTGGGAGGTCGAGACCTAGCATACCGGGGCTAAGGTCCTTCCCCCCTCTACCACCTACGGCGGCTGGTAGATTGTCCGCGGGTTCCGCCAGATGGACATGAAGGCATCTGTCCACTTGGTAGGCCCGTCCTCCAAACTGATCTCCTTCAAAGTTCTCCTCTCGTCCTCTGCCACCTGGCTCCATGCATCGTACACCCCATTTCCTTTCACCCCTCGTTTCGCCGCTTCTCTTACCCTCGCAGCCAGCACGACTCTCGCATGCGACATGAAGCCTACCACCGCCACACGGCCCACCTTCTTTCTTTCAAACGGAACATTCCGCCACGCAGCATCACAGCGGGCCAACCATATTTGTCGGAGCACTGTAGATATCAGCGTCATCTCCGAAAAACCGGACACAGTGCCCCCTTTTTCGAACAGTAGGTCCTCAAGCGAGTTAGCCCTCCTGCCCGGACTCATGAGCTCCAGCGACCTCACCAGCGCGCCGATAACTGGCTGAATCACTGGGCAGTCGAAAAGGCAGTGGTCTAGGGTTTCATACCCCCCACAGTGCGGACAATCGATGCTGTTCCTCAAGAAATCCAACCTCCCTCCCACCTGCAGGTTCATGCTATGGGCTCTGAGTAGAACATCACGCGCCTTCAAGGGGACCGCCAGGGAGTCCCTTACCCCAATTACTGCCTTCCAGTCTATCGTTCTTCCCCACATCTCTTCCCATTCGCCTTGCTTCCTGGATACCCCCGCCGTCTTGGACATTGCTTTCCGAATAGTTCGTAGCGGGACCAACCCACCGCCATCAAACAGTTTAGTCACTGTTAGCAGCTTTGTTCTCGCCACCCCCATAGGCCCTACAACTTTCGCCTCTCGTAAAATCACCGGCTGCGCGCCGCACACCTCGAAACATGCCCTCACCGGCCGCTCCGGGGCCGTCAGCGAGCCACCTTCTTCCTTCTGCAAACTGCTAACCTGCAGCTTCGTCCCCACCGCACCGGTCACCGACCAGTATACTTTCTCCCCTGTTCTGCTCGAGGACGTGCTGACCGTGTTCGTCGCCGCCTGCAGCGCTTGCGTCGTGGCCGGCGCCAGCGCCATTTCCTTCCACCCCGCCGGGAGAGCTCCATATGCCTTCAGTGCCCACTCTGCTGCTGCACCATCCCCTAGCTCCTCCGTCAGCTCCTCTAGGCTTTTTGGCCTCCTGCTGTCGTCCGGCAGGCTCGTGAGAAGATCTCGGACCCTCAGATTCAGTATCGCCTCCGTTCCCTTCTGATGTCCGAACGGACTTTTCCCTCTGTGCATCAGCTTCCTGTTGAAGCATAACCACTCTTCATCCACTTCCCATCTGTTTCTTGGCTCTGGCAGGTCCGCAAAAGGAGTTTTCCAGAAGGCTTTCGCCGCCGCCTTCCACCTTTCACTTCCCCCCTCCCACCGTTTGATCACTGCCGGATGTGCATACCACGTTGCCGTTCCTTGCGGTAGCGCCGCCGCTTCCTCGGCTAGCCACCGGCGGACACCCTCCGGCTCCGCCAGCAGCTTCCCCACTCTGCGTACCGCCTGGCCGTCCAACCAGGTTTTCAAATCCACCAGCCCCAGCCCTCCATCTTTCCTTGGCAGGCTGGCCAAGTATGCGCTCCAAAGCACGAACCGCTGTTCCTCCGACGCCACCCCGCCGGAAATGAAATTGTGGCATAGCTTTCGTATTTTCTCCCACGTCCCTTCTGGCGGTGAGTAGACCTGCGCCTGAAACATCATGACTGGCAGCACATAGCAGCAAATCACCGCCACTCTCGCCGTCGTTGTGAGGTATTGCGCCTCCCATTTTCCCAACTCCTCTTTCACCCGCCCGTATGTCTTGTCCCAGGATGGTCCGGCGTCCCCATTCGGGGTGATCCAGATCCCCAAGAGCCGCTCCGGCTCTTCCTTGTCCGCCCACTTGAGACCAAGACCGTGTGGGGCTTGCTTGCCTCGGTTGGAGCCCAGCGGCAAAACCACCGACTTGTCATAGTTAATTCTTAACCCCGACTGTTTTCCGAAAGACTCCAGCAAAGCCTCCGATTCCCTCAGTTGCGCCTCCCCTTCCAGCAGAAAGGAAGTATCATCCGCGTATCCCACGTAAGCCAGGCGTTCCGCGTTCGTTTCTCCGACCCCCAGCTTCCGTCGACTGGTCTCTCTGCACAGCGGCTCCAAAGCGCACAGGAACAGGTATGGCGCCAGGGGACACCCTTGACGCACGCCTCGCTCCATGTTCACTTTTTCACTCAGCCATCCATTCATTGACACCTTCGTCCCTGCGTCCTTGTGCAGGCCCATCGTCCAACGCACGAAATTCTCCGGCATCCCCAGCTCCGCTAGCACTCTGAAGAGATACCCCCGTGCGACCGTGTCATACGCCTTTTGAAAGTCCACCAGCAGCAAAAGCCAGTCTTTCCCACCGTTGTTCGCCGCTTCCACTGCGTCCACCACCACCGACACCGCGTCAGCAAGACTCCTCCCTGGTAAGAAACCATGTTGCTCCTTCGTCAGCACCTTCTTGAGCCTTGTGGCCATTACCCTGGCTATGATCTTGTACAGCGAGTTTAGCAGCGTGATCGGGCGATAGTTACCCAGCTGATCCCGATCTCCTTTCTTGTGCAGGAGCACCGTGACCGCCGTGGCCAAACTCTCCGGAAGGCTGCCTGTCTTCTCGAAATCCCTGATCATCTGCATCACTCTCCCTCCCAGGAGCTCCCAATGCGCCGCAAAGAACTCCGCCGGGAGCCCATCCTATCCCGGGGACTTGCCCTTCGGCTGGGAAGCAACCGCCTCCTTCACCTCTTCCTCCGTCCAGCTTCTCCCGAGTTCAGCCGCTTCAACTTCCAAGAGGCGTGGACCCAACGCGAAAGCCGTCCAGTCCACCTCCTCCTCCGGCTGCACGTTGCTGAAAGCTGCTCTGAAATGCTCTTCCGCCGCTTGGAGCACTTCTCGTGTGCCCTGGTATTGCACCCCGTTATGCTTGACCTCATGCACCACCGTACGACCCTTCCTAACCTTGATCTTTGCCGTTAGATACGGTGACGGGACCTCCCCATTCATCTCCACATTCATCCCCGCCAGAACTTGGAGCCGCTCCTTATCCCTCTCAAGGTAGGCCTCCAGGTGAGCTTCCTGAAGCGCCAGTCTGTCCTGCAGTCGCCTGTTCCTCGGCCGCTGCATTACTGCATGCCTCAAATCCTCCACCTCCTGCTCCAGATGTGCAATCGTCGCCTTGACCCGTTTTTTCTCCTCCCTTGTGTGCGCGCGCAGTCCTGCCGAAAGGAGACGAAGTGTCTTGTCTATGCCGCAGTCAGGCTCCTCCTCCAGCCTCTTAAGGATCTTTTCCGTTACAGCTTTCACCCCATGCGTATTCACTTGTTTCGCCTGTAGCCTCCACATCCCCGGCCCCCTCTCCAGGGACGAGGCGACCGAGAAGCCCACTCGAATCGCAAACCAGTGGTCGGACAACGACTTGGGGACCCGAACATGCTTCGCCTCCGTCAATTGCCCCAAAGCTGAAAGCGAGACCAACGCTCTGTCGATTCGCGAGCTCGTCTGCGACGCCTTGGAGTAAAACGTATACTCCCGCCGAGTTGGGTGCAACGCGCGAAAGGCATCTCGCAGGTCATGTGATGGCCAGAAATTCCGCAACCTCAGATCCTCCGTTCCTGAGCCAGCCCGTGAGGACATGTCCAACTCTGGGTCTTCAACCAGATTGAGGTCACCCATCAGCACCAAGTGAGCTGCCGTCGGCTGCATCCTGACAAAAGGAGCAAGTCCACTGGCGAGGAAGGAAGACCTTGTACCCGCCTGCGCTGGCAGGTACGCTGCTATCAGCCGGAAACTCAGGTGCGTGCTGCTGACCGTGACCCCCACTAGTCTACCGGAGCTGTGCTTCGTGACATTAGTGAATTTCACGCCTTCTGTAAACGAGAGGACGGCAACTCCCCCTGCTTTCTGGCTGGGAGCCACCGCCACCACCGCCGTTGGTCTTAACTGAGTCCAAAAATTGTGATCCTCTCCTACTCTTGTGTCTGTTAGCACCATGATGTCTGCCGTTCTCTTCAGCCACTTCAGGTTCTTGTTTCTTTTCCCGTTGCTTCCGAGGCCATTCACGTTGACCTCGCACAAAGTGATGCCGTTGGCCATATTACCCATTAATCCACTGCACAGGAGCCCCTTCGCATCCACGGGCTTGAGTACAACCAAGAAACATGCAACCGAAACGCTGATGACTCTCCCTACTGCTCTTGACCAGCCACTGCTTGAAACCTGCATGCGTCACCGATCCTGGGCTTACCACAACCCACCCCTTCACAGCTCGAACTCCTTGCGAATCGCCCTCAGATTTATCTTCCCCTTGCTTGCGCGCGTAGCTTCCCCCCCCTTCAGGATCGCAGTGCAGTGCTGGACGGAGCGTACATGAGTCAGCGCTTGGGAGAAACTGGAACCCTTCGCCTTCACGCACGCCTCCTGGACACAGATCCAGTCCTCCGTGCTGCCTCCCATGGAAATCAGAGTCACCGCCGGGTCCCGAAGGATCTTCTTCGTCGTCGCAGTCAGCAGATGCGATCCAGCTGCTCACGGAGGGTGGGAGTCGGCTGTCAGCGTTCCAGATCTGGACCCCAACAGCCTGAAGAACAAGGTTAGTATTCCGCCATTTACCGTTGATATCGTGGATTCGCTGCAGCGTCAGGTTCCACTTCGAGATATTCTCCTGCCTTTCCGCAACATAATCATCATGCAGCTTCGTAAAATGCATGCCGTTGCAAAAATCACACTTCAGCGACGGAAAATGAACAAGCAGCTGCCTATGATGCACCGTATCATAAAGCATGTGCCACCACCGATACTTATCCCCCTGGTGGACTTTCACCAACCCCTTTATCTTATGCGTGTCACCTCGCTTCTCCAGCGGCGTGGTAACCAAGAACTTGTAAATCATATCCGGCGAGATTTCCGCTGGAACTTCCTTCAGCAGGACTTCAACTGCCCCCGGGTTCTGCGCGCGCTCCTTGATATAAAGCGGGTTCTCCGAGTGCTGCCAGCTCAGCACCAACTTAGTTTTCCCGTCCGCGCAAATGTGCTCCACTCGCCTGCACCAGACGTAGTTCGCATCCGCAGCTTCGTGAAAGGTAACCTGCATCCTCCCGAAGCGCTTCTTCGACAGGTAGGCTGGCAGCAAGGTCTGCATCTTCGTTGTCTTCTGCGCGTGCGGGGACAGCGCCTTCTTCCAGACAACCAGCAACTCCGCCATTGTGTCCATCGTGCGCGGGACTTCCTTGTCAAACTCCACCGGGATCAGCAGGGTAAGTGTGTAGCCAGCCAGAGCCGCAATCTCCCCAGCACGGACCGGATCCAGCCTCTCCTCTGGGTCATCACTCAAATAACCATCATCCGGTATCTCGTCCTCTTCTTCTTCTTCCTCAGGATCCACACGGGATTCCGCAGGCGGCGCGTCTTTACCACCAATGCCTCCCTTCTCTTGTTCCGTAGCGCTTGTCTCCCCGGATGCATTGTCCTCCAGGGTCTTAAAGCTCAGCGAGGCCAGCTTCTTTTCCAGCGACATCCGAGAGTCGTCAGCAGCAAACGGCCCGACCGTGTCCTTCAACATTGGCTTCGGCGTAGCAGGCTCCGACTGATGCCCTTTGTCCAGCGGCGAGCGCTCAACCGCACCAGTCTTCAGAGCAGCAGCAGCAGCAGCCCTCTTCGTCGGACGAACCATGGTGCAATGATGAGAAGCAGAAAGCAGCACTCTTGCTGACACTGAAAGCTGACTGAGCACCAACGCCTTATAAACCTGCTGTCCAGGCTTGGGTCTCGTCTTGTTCCTTGGTAGACCACGGTAAAAGCGATAATAGTTCCCCGGGATGAGCATGCCAATGTATTCCCCAGGCTTCCAGACATTATCGCGAAAACAGTTGTCAGTATTGGCCGGACCATTGATGTTAGCTTGAAAAACTTCATGGAAACCATCCCAGGTTACCGTAGACTTCTTAGGAGCTGCATGCTCGACATGTGTCAACAACCTTGTAGCTGCTTTAAGACTCTCGGGATTGCCTGACAGACACCTGGTAGGTAACATGCCTTCTTGATAGGCACAAAAAATATACCCCCGTAAACGTCTTGCCACGTAGATTCCAGATGTAGTCTTTAACCGAGCAACTGACAAGAAATTGTTCGACATTGGTCGACTTGAAGTTCCTGGTGGGAGCCATGGCGGCCTTGGAGTCATTGTCATTGTCATTGTCATGTTGCGACCCAGTGGCAGCTGCGTCGACCGGTCTACGGCCTGCGCCAGGCTCCCCGCGAGTGGCACGACACGCTCCGTACGACTCTTGCAGCGCTTGACTTCTTTCCGTCGTCTGCCGACCCGTCGCTGTTCGTCCGTCGTGGCTCGACCCCCTTCTTTGTTATGGTCTACGTTGATGACCTGGTTTTCGCCACTCCCGACCGACGCGCACTGGCCTCCGTGAAGGAGGAACTGCAGAGGAGACACACTTGCACTGACCTTGGTGAGCTGCAGCGCTACCTTGGCCTGCAGATCACCAGGGACAGAGCAGCTCGCACCATTACGCTGACGCAGTCGCATATGGTCGAGCAGATCCTCACGCGGTTTCGCTTCCCGTTCTCCAAGGTACAGCCCACCCCTCTTGCTGTGGACCATGGGCTCACGGCTCCACCTTCGGACGAGCCATTTGAGTCCAGTGGTCCATATCCTGAGCTGGTGGGTTGTCTCATGTACCTGATGACCTGTACTCGCCCTGACCTAGCTTACCCTCTTAGCGTCCTTGCGCGCTTTGTTGCGCCTGGGAGACACCGACCTTCCCACTGGTACGCGGCTAAGAGGGTGGCGAAGTATGTGGCGAGTACATCAGGCATGGGACTTGTCCTTGGAGGGAAGCAGCCAGTTACACTTACAGGTTTCTCGGACTCGTCGTGGGCCGACGACGCAGAGTCGCTGCGCTCTACACAGGGTTACTGCTTCAGCCTTGGGACCGGAGCTGTTTCGTGGAGGTCGACTCGGGCGTCGTCCGTCTCTAGTTCCAGCTGTGAGGCAGAGGTGTACGCTGCGGCCATGGCCGCCCAGGAGCTTCGCTGGCTGTCTTTCCTCCTCACCGACTTTGGTGAGCGGCCTCGCTCTCCCCCAGTCTTGTTCGCCGACAACAGGTCTGCCATCCTGTTGTGCGAGGAGCCCCGACTGGTTGGGAAGGCGAAGCACATCCAGCTTCGTTACTTCCTTCTACGAGGGTTGCAGCAGCGTGGCCAGGCACTCGTGCGACGTGTGGTCTCTGAGGCCAACACTGCAGATATCTTCACCAAGGCGTTGCCGCCTTGTGACCACCAGCGTTTCTGCACCCAGCTTGGCCTTGTGTCTACAGGCCCTCACTTGCTTGCGTAGAGATGCCTTATCTTGTACTCTTGCATCTTACTATATCTCCTATATATGTGCTTGTGGACAGGCCTTGTGGCCCCCTTGCTTCTGTAGAGATGCTTGTCATGCATGTCTTGTACTCTTGCATCTCTTATATCTGCTATATCCTTGCATGTGGACTGGACTTGTGGCCTCTTGCTTGTTCTCGGAATGTGTGGTGATCTTGAGATCCACCCCGAGCGTTTCTTTGTTCTTGTGAACTGGTCTTGTGACCGTTGCTTGTTCTTGCTGACTGGTCCTGTGACCCTTGCTCTTGGGTTGTGTGTTGCTTTCCACATGACAACCGTCACCTAGACTATGGGGGTGTGTCAAACTATACTTGTTATAGCTTGTTAGTTTAGTCTAGGTGTTACATTGAGTTATGCTGTAGAGGGTATAACCCCCCTTAGGGTTTGCTATATCCTCCCTTGTACTGCTTGTTTCTACTCATTCATCATTCCAGTTCTATGTTTGACATATCCGCCACCGACCGGACCACCTTTTTCGACAATCTGGAGGTCCGGATAAGCGGTGGTAGCATCCTTAGCTGTCAGTGCCTCCCTCCCTGCACACCATATGCACACATATTAGAAGAAATGAAAAAAAAAAACAAAAAAACAAAAAAGGGAAGATACACGATGCGCAATCTTCGCTTTTAGTCGCGCGACCAATCCAGTGTGCTGGCCAATTATGACAGTGGCGCCATCCGTGCTAATACTGCAGATACGTTGGAGGTCAATGTCCGTAGTCTCTAGATGCGTCAGCGGTATGCCTTGCACCGAGGCAGGGTCACTCTGCTCTACGGTGAGCAGGGCGTAAATCTCGGTGATATGATCGTTATCACGTATGCTTCCCCCGAATTTTGTCGGTGCTTTTGTCCCGTTAGTTGCCAAGGTAGGGACTGGTGTGGATTTGTTTCAGTTGGCGGGACCATATGAAAGAAAGCATGGTCTCGACCAAAATCGTACCCAAAACCCAGAAGCCAAATGAAATAGCAATGTTAAATATTCTTGCATCACTTATTTGTTGTAGTATGTCCTGTTCTCTTTCAGGGGCATGTCAGGAGTGCCCTGCCCAAGCAATGAACTCTACCAAGGCCACGAACAGCACAATTGGGTAAATAGTAAAACAATGGACATCAAACGAGTGATGCGCCTGGCATCTTCGTCCCCCTTATCGAAGACCATGATGGACTTTTGCCATTTTTTTTGTCCGTCGCGTTGTTCCTTCCGCAACACTGCCGCCTCATGCTTCAGGCTGTGGTGATGCTTGCGCATCGTCTGCTTCGGGATGTCGATGTTGCCATCACCGTAGTGGCTGTACTTGTAATGGGGGTCCCCGAACACCATGCAGGTGCTACAACGCAGGCATGGTCGCCTATCCTTTATTTCAGAGATGACGAGCCACGAGAAACATCGCGGCCACTGCTGTTTACACTTCAGCTGCAGTTCCTCGAGAGACAATGGTCTGCCGGCATTGTCCTCACCATCGTCATCAGAGAGATCTCGTGCCACTGGGTGGTTTTTCTACGATGGCGCTGGCTCCGTAGGTCTGCCAGGACGAGCAATGTTGTGCGTTCGTTGCTTGTAACTGGTCTCCTTTGAAGACCTGTCCGGCAACACAGAGTTAGCTCGGAGTGTGGAGGTGGTTGCGACAGATGCTGCAGGGTGATTCTTTTCGCCGACGCTGTGAGGCATGCATGTAGATACGGGCGTGGTAGGGGCAGCGCTGGACGGCGTGGAATGGTCGCTAGTTACTGAGATTGGCATGGCGGTTACGGGCGATGGAACCGGAACAAAGGACAAAGCAATGGGTGGGGCAACATAACCGACCCGCTTGCCCCGCATGAGGAAATCTAACGTCGAAAGTGTAGGTGTCTCAACCCCGGGCAATAATGTTGTACCATCACCATAGGAGGCGAGCGGTACGGCGGTGAGGTCGGCCATCAACACTATATTAGAGTGATGTAGAAAGGAAAGAAATGGTGGAACAAGAGTGGGTTGATGCTCGGCTATTTGAGAGTTGAGCAAGAGAAGGATGAGGTAGACTGCTTTGTATCTCCACACTGCTGCATGAAACCCTCGCCTCGTCCCGTGTCATCTTGATGTGCGCTGCGGGATGTGAGCCGGGTACCACACTCCACTGCAGGTCACGTCTAGGCAAGGACCGCGCTGGCACAACATGACAGCACCTTGGAGTGTAAAGGCTGGCATCGGCACCGACAACCAGCCAGACGATAAAGAAAGGCAGCATATGACTCATAATCAGGGCCAGCGGTGATCATATTCGACAGCAAGGATACTACGAGGGACGGAAAATTTATTTTGCATGCAGGTATATGTCAAGAATGAAAGTGTTGATTGACTAAGATTGGTTGGGGTACATGAACCTAACCCTAACAGTTGTACCCCCTATAACACACATCACTAAGACTACAACATTTGACACACCCCCATAGTCTAAGTGAGGGGTGTCAAGCAAAACCAAAAGTGTACGGTCACAAGATCAGTCACAAAGAAACAAAGCTCAGGGTGGATCACAACGTCACCACACACTCCGAGCACAAGCAAAAGAGCCACAAGGCTAGTTCAAGAGTTCACAGAGGTATATGTAAAGTATACAAACAAAGCAAGGAGAGAACTCAAGACTATGCAAAGCGAGAACCTGTGTTAACGAGACCTAACTGCACACAACCTCTGGTGATCACAAGGCGGAAGCGCCTTGGTGAAGATGTCTGCAGTGTTGGCCTCGGACTCCACAAAGTCGAAGCGAGCCTGTCCACGCCTCTGCAACTCTCGCAGAAGAAAGTACCTGACGTTGATGTGCTTCACTCTGCTCTCCAGTCGCGGCTCTCGACAGAGGAGAATCGACGCCTTGTTGTCAGTGAACAAGGTCGGTTCAGAGCTCGGCCGCCCACCAAGGTCGGTGAGCAAGAAGGTCAACCAACGCAGCTCCTGTGCAGCCATGGCTCCAGCGTAGATCTTGGCCTCAGCAGTAGAGGTCGAGACCGAGGAGGAATGTGTGGACCTCCACGAAACAGATCCAGAGCCCAAGCTGAAGCAGTACCCCTGAGTAGACCTGTGAGTCTCGGCGTCGTCAGCGTAAGAAGAGTCACAGTGTCCAGTAAGTACAACAGACTGCTGCCCTCCAAGAACCAGCCCCACACCTGATGTCAACGCTAGGTACTTCGCCACCCTCAC